TGATGGGGAGAAAGCCGTAACCGACCGGAGGTTACAGCGACGCGGTGTCCAGCGATCTTATCGCACATAATCATCGAAGGCTGGATTCGAACCTGCGAAAAGTGAGCAGAGGTACGGCGTATTTCTAACGCTTAGCACGACGCGCCAGTGTAGAATTTCAACGAGTAGTGCTATCCATATCTGCATCATATGATAGACTTTCTTTCTAAATTCTTCTTGGCATTCATTTCGCATAACATCAATTTCGACTGGAATTGTACGGAAAAACGTTTACAAATCTTTTTAACTTTCTCAATTAGTACAATATAGTAGGTCGGGGAAGAACGGACAGGCGGGGTAATGCGGACACCTTTTTTCGATTTGATCTCACAGCGACACCATAAGAGCTACGGCCGCGGTTTCACTGCTCGTTTGTTACGTAACTAAGCGTAGTTTCGCTGAAGCGAATACGTCGCCATTGCCGCAAATTTTGTCAACATGCTTGCGATTTTCTGGCGGACTCGATTTTGGAGGGGCGAAAAAGTGGGTATTTACTATCATATTGAGTTTCAACGTCAGTTGTGGGACCAAAACACCAACTATAAGGTAATAAACAATTTTATTTCCTATTTACTTTACCTCATGAGGTTTTAAAGGCGTTTGCATAGTCTGACTGCGCAGATGATTGCTTGTGGGAGCTCGAAATAAACTTCATGACGTCATGACAATTAGGGGGGTGATTTTTTTTAATTTTCATCTTAAGCTCTGTTGTTAGGCAATTACAAAATAAAAAGTAGTCAGATTTATACACTATCTGAGTTGTGTTTATTTGGGATATAAGTTGTTTCATTTCAGTCTACCAGTCCAAAACGATATGCTTTCTTGTTTTTAGTGTCCATTTCACCCCAAAAGGGACATTGTCTCAGATTTTGAGTTGTTGTTCAGGAAATATGCTTCGTAAATGGAAGAGAAGTAGTAAAAGATGTCAATGGATGGAAAAAACATGAAAAAAGCAATTGAAATGGTACAAAGCGGAGGAAAACTCCCGACTGAAGCACGTACATATTCGGTTCCAAGGGCTACACTTCGCCGTCATGTTTATCGAACACTGAAGCATGCCCCGGGATCACGGCGTCTTGGTTGTCTCCTACCTTGGGCCAGAACGAAAAGGATCTTTTGCAAGATATACTCGCATTTGAAATGAGAGGCTTCCCATTAATGGTTAAAGACATTCGAAAGTTCGCTTATGAATTTGCAATGGTGAACAAAATTTCTAATAAATTTTCAGAATCTGCTAAAATGGCTGGAAAAGACTGGTGGAGTGGCTTTCGGGAACGATACGGAAACTTGCCCCTGTCAAACTTTAGTAAACCTCGATTTAGGAGAGCCTAGCAAGTAGCAACATCACTTCCCAACCACCGCTCAACATTACTAGCTCGTCGACAAGTAATAATTTTGTTGCATGTGGTTTGCAGCAAGCTGACAATGATTCACCTTGTTGCAGTAAAACTATTCAGCAAACATCAGGTCCCAAGTTTAGGCAGCAAATCTCTACAGAACAACAGATTAGCATCTCCAGAGGACAGTTTATTGCATTTGAGTGACACTTCATTTGAAGAGATTCTGCCCTTTTCGAAGGCCCCACCTCGACTTAAACCACCTCGTGAGAAAGCGATCATAACTGGTATAAGAATACTCACCAGTGAAGGGTATAGGAAAGAACTAGCAGTTCTAGAAAATAAAAAGGAATCTGGTATTATAACTAAGAAAAAAAGCAACAGTACGGTCCAAGAAAATAGAGGCCAGCAGTTTGAATAAACCTCATGTGAGCAAGGTCAAAGTAGGAAGAATTATAAACAGGAAAAAATCTGCCAAGGCTGTCAGAAATAGTGATGTTTGTGAGTTTTGTGAAGACAATTTGTACGATGATGAGGGGTGGATACAATGTCAGCAATGCCTCAGATGGTCGCATGACATTTGTGCTGGTGTTTATGGCAGAAACGTTCAAGCTTTCACATGTGAGGAATGCCAGTAATAATTTACATATAAATAACTTGCCTGTTTCATTAGGTTAATTTCGTTATGTTATTTATGGTAAAGGACATTCAGTTGATCAACTAAGGTTTGTGCATGCATTAGCAAAGCTTTTGTTCGGTTGCAAGTACATGCCTGGATGATTAATAAGTTTTCATGTCTGGTGGGGTAATATGAGCATCATTGCTTGCCTCCACTGTAATTCTCGAGGCTTATTATTTATGATTTTTTAGGCGTTTTATACGCATTCAAATAGTTTAGTAGTGTCTTCAATTAATTTTGTTTAATGTTCGTTTTACCCATCCATGTGTCCGTTTTACCCGAATAAATTTTTTGGGGAAAAATGCTCATATCTAACAAAATATTAGTCGTATTGCCGAAAGCGACAGTGGGCTGTAGGGCACATTCAAATTGGTTATTTTAATACGGGAGTCACGCTTCTATATGGTAAAGATTACGAGAATTTGAGATTTTGCTATAGTGGTGTCCGTATTTGACGGGCCTACTATATTATAGTACTTGCCATTGAATAATCCTTTTCAAGGTATTTGAGAGAGAGAGAGATTTATTTTTTCGTTAACCAAAAATAACGGTCATCGTAATAATAATAAAAATAATAACAATAAGAAATAAATTAGTTTGGTATAGACAGGAGGAAATGATACGACCAGGCGGTCATCAAAGTCAACTCCCCCCCTTCAAGCTATTATGTTTGAGATCCACAGTTTCAGATGACTAAAATATTGGGGAGGAACATTCTAGAATTCAAAATTATATTCTCAAAATGGAAGCATAAAATTGGGGAGGGGAATGCTAGAGTAAATCATTTTTATTTATTTATGTGGAGCGGGATTTCAAAAGCTGAAGAGATTCCAAAGGTTACTGTATGAATTTAAATAATTTATACGCATATGTGATGATAAAATGTATGTGGTAGAACAAGTAATAAAATTACCAAATATATATACTTACCTATAACAACGATTTCTCAGATTACGCAGATCGAACACCGCGATTCTTTGCGCCTGTGCGCAACAAAACATCTGCAGAAACTATTATAATTTGTTTAATAAATGCGATGAGGCGGAACTTTGCATACCTATGTTGCAAAGCAATTTATGATAAAACTGATTCCAGTACTTTAATCTTTTAGCATTGATTCTAATGACACGTCATGTATGCATTTGGATCACAAATATTAAAGCCTGATTTTCTGGAATACCTTTTCGTCAAGCTGAAATAATGATGATTATAAATATAGTTCGGATACAGCTATTTTATCTTGTCTGTCCCTTACGATTCAGTGGGTAATTTAATATTATCGTAGTAGCCGTATCGGAATACCGGCAATATCGTTTTTTTGAAATATCGGCGTGTCGTTATCGGACCGGTACCTGTATCGCCGATAAACGCGGTATCGGTATATCTTTAATGCATGTATTGCCATTCAAATTTTTTGAATTAAGAAGGGACAAGTGAGACACCTCGGACACGTAGAACGAGTAGGACAAGTGGAACACTAAGAAGGGACAAGTGAGACACCTTGGACAAGTGGGACACATGGAACGAGTAGGACAATTGGAACACGTGGTACAAGTGGAACACATGGACAAGTGAGACACGACATTTTTGAGACACCTCACCGTTTTGAGACACATTTTTTGTGTCGGAAGTGTTTCATAGTTGTCAGCACCAAAACGAAATCAATTTTAACAAACCAAATGTTTGGATCAAACCATGATCCATAATTGAATCAAGCGTTTCCGCAACGACAAGTTGTGTGACAAGTTTGCTTTTCCGACGTTGCTGTTTACGCCGTGAGTCCAGGTGGTAAAACAGGTTTGTATTTATAAAAGTTTTCAATGAAACAACGAATTTATGTTTACTACATAAGAAAAGTATTTTGAACTAGCAACAAATCATTCTTTATCACGCAGAGCAAAAAGAAACAAGTCCAGATGAGATGTGTGCAAAAGTAGGCAGTAATGATCTTTACTTTACTATCGTCTCGCCCTTGTATCTAGTCTGTGTTCACCACAGCGCTCAGACTTCTTCCCAAAACATTTTTCGATTTCTCTCTTCTCACCAGACACGCTACGCAAGTCTAGCGACTGCTCTCAGAAGGCAGCTAAAACGGCCCTTTGAACGATAGCTAAGTGATTTTCATCGCATGGTTGAACTGGGAGAAATTACAAATGTTATAAAGGGGTGTCAAAAGTCCCTGGGGTCGTTCGGTTACAAAGGGACGAAAAGTGGGCACGTAACGTTCGTACCGAGCTGTTATGAAAAACCATATTATTGCCGAAATTATTATGCTCAGAGCTACTGCAATGAAGTCTTTTTCGAGGTCATTGGAATGATTTTGTGCAAAGCATGAGTTTTGCGAAAGTTAAACAAAAAGTTTTATTTTGTATATAATCTAATTTCGATGAATGTTTTGGTAAATATTTGACGATATACGCGTTTTTGTCAGTATTATTAAATGAACCAAATTTCGAAGACGAAAGACATTTTATTTGTGTAAAAGTTAGTTGAAACAACCAACTATTATACAGAGATCAATTTGAGTATTCGAATAACGTTTTTGTTAACAATTCACTGACATCAATCGATACATATATCGACATCATGAAAGGACAAAAAAATAAAACCTTGATTAATTCTTGACATCGAAATTCTTATTAATCACATTTCAAACAAAGTCTTGATAAATTAGAAAAGTCACAAGATGAGGAGCTAGGTAACTGAGTGAGAAACTGCGTTCACTACGTGGGCACGGCGTGGGTCATAAGTGTCTAAAAATCATATTTCTATTGTGATCGAACCAGTCATTGCGCTACGTGCATATATAGTATCACTTTTGCGAATAAGTTGGTTTCAAATTCTTTGTTCTGATTGTGAAACTGGGGTCAGAATCTCAGTCACCTCTAGCTTTTAGAGATACTTCCTGGAATAGAAATTGGAAAATTGAATGAATCAGAAAAATGTTTGGATGTATATAAATGCGACGTCTTGCTGGATAGTACGCAATATATATAGAAGTTATGAACTATAACGCGAAAAGGAATATTGAATGATGAGGCTGATGCCAAGATGCATCTTCTATGGACTATTTATTTTTGGAGGTGGGTGTACGATCTAAGAAAATCTGTACTTTCGAGTTGTTTCACGTTTTAGTTTGTATTACAAGTTGTGGTGGCAAACAGCTAAAACATTGAAATTGCGTATTTGCAAATTAAAAATTGTACACGTTTGTGCTTTCTAAAAAAATGATATATAATATACAGAAAACTATTTTGCAATTAATTTATTTTTATTATTCAGCATTATCGAGCAGGCCTATCTGCTATTTTCAGAAATACGCATGATTAAATTTAATGATATAAGGTGAATAAAAATTAACAAATTCGGACCGTGCTTATTTAGGTGGAATTGCAAGCTGCAGAGTGCAGAGACAAAAATATCGTCTTCTCAATTCTCATTCCTACTCACAAATTCACAATGTCTTGCATTTTACAGTTTTTCATCTTTGCTCAAGTGACCAGTGCGAATCACGTTTTAGAGCAGATAGAACAGGCGTCATCAAAGGACCCACAAATAAAAAAGAGTGCCGAGGATTTTCAAGGTGCAAGTGGACATTCGATTATCCATCCGGGGCTGGTGCACTGACATTGAGTTTCACAAGCCTCAATGATCCCACGCCACAAGCGCGTCTTGAAGTTGCAAAAGCAAGTAAGCATGCGAGATTACGTATATATATATATATATATATATATATATATATATCATTGTAACCGGTGGTTTTACTTATCACTAAAAAACTTTAAACCATTTTTGTGGTTGTTCTAATGTCAATTATGTCATGGCTTCTGTAATATATTAGCACAATATATATAAAAACAATATGAGATGTAACAGTAGCTTTCATTGCAAATCGAGGGTTCAAGACAAAAGACCAGCTGTGGTAATTTAAAATAAAATTGGAATTGGAAAGATCTAATTATGTCATGGCGTTTGTAATATATTAGCACAACAATATGAGATGTAACAGTAGCTTTGATTGCAAATCGATAATAATTATAATTAAAAATATTACAAAGCTGGTTTTGTAATCAAAAGTCGAAGCCATCTTCACCAAAATATTTAAATAAAAAGATATAGATGTTTAAAAGTCAAAAATATATATTTTCTCAAAATATCAGTATGCCTAACTCGTTTTCTGCGATATATTGGTGCTATCAATAATATGGTACACACTTGTATATTTTTATTTTGTTATTCAGATGGTCAAACCATCAAACTAATCAAGTTCCAAGCACATGGTAATACTGTTTGTTTTGCAACTTCGAAATCCGAACATTGTTCGCAAGAAATAAAACGCAACAGATGCGAGACTTACACAGGCGTCGAAAAATCTCCTTATGTGGTGTACAAATGCGATCCTTCAGCTTTACAATTTCAAATCCTATATGAGTTTTGGAATTGTACTGAAGGTAGGTAGTAAGCTATTTTTTCAATGTCTCTTATGTAGGCACTCTAATACATGTAAGGATTGGAGTTAAGTACGAATGAAAGTAATATGATATAAATATGACTATGAGTATAGCCACAATATTTTTATTGAACAACAATTGTCCTTTCTGCTAGTTCCGCTGTCGTCGCTATATTACATCGATATTGATGGTGCAGTATTGTGCGTTCTAGTAATTGTTTCACAACTTCAAATAAAGCAATTTCGCGTCGAATATACTATCAACGCACTTTCTCAAAGGATGCCCAATGCATAAATAGTTGACTATTCCATATTTTCCACATTGTGTTTATTTGAATTTACACATAAATGCTTGATATAAATTTTGAATAAATATTTCCCATATCTTTTTTACTGATATTGCAAAACACTTCCTCATATTCTGAACTATATTGTATTAGAATACAGATATCAATTTTCTGGGAAGTCTGTAATCAAATTTCTACGAAAACAATCGTGTTTTATCATTGTTGTTCATGCCAATGTAAAGTATGGTAGAATATATCGGAGTAATGGTGAAACGAAAAAAAATGTTCTCAAAGATGGCACTGAAGCCAAAGAGTTCAGTAAGAGTAAGACTTTTCAAGGCGGTCCCAAATATATATTTTCAAACGAAATGCACCGGGCAGGGCAAATTTGTTCAAACAGAAAAGTGGCGAAATTCATTTTTCTATAAATCATCGCGTAGGCTAATATATAATTAATTCTGATTCGACGTTTTTTCAACTTATAATTGGCTAATATAATCACATTCGTATCTAGAGAAACATGAGATGGCTACAATATTCTTTTTTAATGAAGATAGATTAACCAATTATCCTGTTTTTTTTATTTGTTTATTTATACTTGTTTTCGCGCTTGTTTCGGAAACACTTTTGACCCTATCAATGAATGTTGCATACTGCGTCGAACAAATACGTAGTTACAGTTTCTATACAATAATCGCTGAATGGCATTTTCTATTCAATAGATCCTTATACTCTTCCGCTTTATTGTTTCAGAAACAACAACGCCAGCACAAACAACTCCTAAAATGACAGGTATGAATCGAAATAAAAGTTCATGATAGGCGTTATTGTAATCGACATCTGAAAATGAAAACACATCGATATTTTATCATTATTTTTAGATACAATATCAGAAGTACAAATGACCTCTTCTATTGAAGGTGAAAATAAAATGAATCTGTATAAAATGGTATATTATAGTAAATATTATAGTTTTTGTGTTTTCGACCTTCCGTGAATCAAAAAATACTACATGGATATGACGTATTTTAGATTTGAATTTCTGTGAACTGTGATAGGTCACTAGTGTTAAAAACACGCTTGTGGCCACATCAATGAAAGTTACATCTTAGGTCATCTCAAAGCCGTAACAGTTTCTATATATGCATTATTCGCTACATTATATTCTCTATTCAACTGATACAAATATTACTCCACAGTTTTTTAGGAATCACTCCATCGTTTAAATAAAGTTTTGATATCTAAATTTTTGTAGGATTGTATGAGAGCACACAGAGATTATAATCAGACGTTTATACAAAACTGAACCATATACTAAGTTTCTGTCAACACTGATTGGCCTCACGGCTTCTGTTCGCATGCGCCAGCGTCCATGGTTATTTCACTTGTGGTTTAATCATGCGCATATTATGGATCAGTGAGTATTTATTTTATTGACTATATTGTTTATTTCCTACAGCAGAAACAAGAGGATATCCGACATTCGATTTTAGCGAATATAAAAGAGAAGGTAAGACAACAAGTTATTTAATGAGAGAAGAGTCAAATACACAAATTCATCCTGGTATATTGTTATAATACTTGTAACGATAGTTTTAACGAAAATTTTCATTTATCGATGCGTGCTTGCTACGTCCAATGTTTCGCCAGTGATTCTTCTATTGTTTCATGTATTTTTGATGATTGTGTGTGTATGTGAGGTAATTGATGAGCAACGGACTAGTAGAATATAGTTTCGAGAAATTTCAGATAAATATAAATGTCTAATTTATTTAAAAACCGTCGAGTACTGAAACCGTAGCTAAAATTCCGCACAATGTAAATAATGATCAAGTACGTCTCACTAGAGAAGTGCGTGATAATAATGGCATTTGCAATTTGAATTCTGGTATTCTAAATTTGCCCTTCCATTAGCTTTGTCGTTTAGCACATACGAAAAATTACATACCGAACGCAATGTTTCAATACGCATATAATATAGTGAGTTTTTTCAACCAGGCTGTTCATATGTTCGGCAAAAAGTAGAGAAAAGCAGTTCGCGCTGCGATCGCCGAATGGTGTCAAATTCTGAAGTTAAATTTGCATGATGAAATAATGAAAACTCACTTCATTCATCAGTATGCTATAAATGCAGTGTTTGATTTATTTTTAGTTATTAGAAACAAATTATTCTTGTGGGGTTCGCTGTTGCAGAAAAATTTTCTCTGCAACTTATAGCCCAATCATTTCAACTGTACAGTATTTGAAGTCGAAAAGCTATTGATTTTATTTTTTATTTAATTTTCTCCAAGTTAGATATTTGTTTGCTTTGTTATTCCATCCGTGGGAACACTTTTTTATGTCATTTGAGCATTGCTATCTTGTTTCCTAGATACCTCAATAGCAGAAGAAACAAGCTACTATAAAACCAGTATGGTTGCTGATATTGAACAGCGAGCAAGGTCAAATGTCTCACCACTAAACAAGGAAATATCATCTACCGTAGCTGTCAGCCTCGTAGTGCTACTACTGAATGTTTCGACCTTTTTTTCTTAGTTTCGTACAAAATGTTGACTTTGTGTATAACTATACAAAAACTTCAAAGTTCGACTCCAACAACAGACCCCATGGGACCTCGGCTACGATTAAACCAAGGCAAACTTTCTGTCATACAGAGCAGAAAAGTTAAATATTATGTAAATATCGCTACTCATTTTCCTTAGACAACTTTGGCTTTTTGCTTCAAAAGTCCATTTATCTCTGTTTGATATACAATCTCATACATGTTACTTATCATTTGTTTATTTTCCAGTTTTGTGACTTCGAATATTGGACAATTTTGTGAAAATCAGAGAAATGCATTTGTTGTCAAGATAAGGTTATGGGTTGTGTTGAAGTGGAACCGAAAATTAATCAAAATTCGAATTAAAATCGCGAATGACTAAATATTAATCCGTAATTACTAACCATGAATTTCGTAGCAACCAATTAAATGTTGACCATTTCAACCCAATCTAAAACAAGCAGACTTTGAAATTAACGAAATTAAATTATATCACCATTGATATAACAATTGGTGTTGTTATGACCTGGATAAAACCTTATTTATTCCAATAAAAAGTTTCAAAAAATTTCTGATACTTTATGATACTGACTGACTTATTTAGATAGGGGAATTGGACGCAGGCTAACGATATTATGTTTTTATTTTAATATTTCTATCGTTGATTTAAAGGAGCTCCCGAAGTGTATGTACCAAGATGACACACAACCTGAACATAATATGTGTACCAGGTTAGGGTTCAGGTTGTGCGCCATCTTAGTACATATACTTGGGGGAGCGCTGATTTAAAAGTATATATACTGCCACCTTTAAAAAGAGATTGTAAGAAATGATTGAAATTTTTCATATCGTTCGAAATCTACAATAAATATCGATAGAGGTGTCTTAACAAGTATTTATTCAAATTTTGATCAGGAAGTCACCACAGTCTCACCGAATTCATGTTACATTTTAAAGGTCTTGTAATTTCTGACTAAAAATACTGACGTGGATTGAAATAATCAAGTGCTGAAATCATTTTCATGGTTTGCAAATAAGAAAAGCCTACGACACCCGATATTCCCACCCGGGTTACCCATGCAAGTACTAACCGGGCCTGACAAGAGATACAAGTAGGACAAGTGAGAGATAAGCTGGACAATTGTTAGATAAACAGGACAAATGTGTGACAAGTATGATAAGAGCAGGACAGCTGTTAGACAAACAAATCAGTCAAATATGGGAAAAGCTGAACATGTGTGAGAAAATCAAGACGAGTTTCATTCGATCAAGAGAGGTTTCTACTAAGCAGGATTGGGCATGTAAGTACGAGTGTGGGCAAACCTGGACAAGTGAGAAACAGGACAAGATGGGCAAGTTTTAGACAAGCATTACACGTTTGGTAATGTGTTGGACAAATCAAATTTCTACGAAAACAATCGTGTTTTATCATTGTTGTTCATGCCAATGTAAAGTATGGTAGAATATATCGGAGTAATGGTGAAACGAAAAAAAATGTTCTCAAAGATGGCACTGAAGCCAAAGAGTTCAGTAAGAGTAAGACTTTTCAAGGCGGTCCCAAATATATATTTCCAAACGAAATGCACCGGGCAGGGCAAATTTGTTCAAACAGAAAAGTGGCGAAATTCATTTTTCTATAAATCATCGCGTAGGCTAATATATAATTAATTCTGATTCGACGTTTTTTCAACTTATAATTGGCTAATATAATCACATTCGTATCTAGAGAAACATGAGATGGCTACAATATTCTTTTTTAATGAAGATAGATTAACCAATTATCCTGTTTTTTTTATTTGTTTATTTATACTTGTTTTCGCGCTTGTTTCGGAAACACTTTTGACCCTATCAATGAATGTTGCATACTGCGTCGAACAAATACGTAGTTACAGTTTCTATACATTAATCGCTGAATGGCATTTTCTATTCAATAGATCCTTATACTCTTCCGCTTTATTGTTTCAGAAACAACAACGCCAGCACAAACAACTCCTAAAATGACAGGTATGAATCGAAATAAAAGTTCATGGTAGGCGTTATTGTAATCGACATCTGAAAATGAAAACACATCGATATTTTATCATAATTTTTAGATACAATATCAGAAGTACAAATGACCTCTTCTATTGAAGGTGAAAATAAAATGAATCTGTATAAAATGGTATATTATAGTAAATATTATAGTTTTTGTGTTTTCGACCTTCCGTGAATCAAAAAATACTACATATGACGTATTTTAGATTTGAATTTCTGTGAACTGTGATAGGTCACTAGTGTTAAAAACACGCTTGTGGCCACATCAATGAAAGTTACATCTTAGGTCATCTCAAAGCCGTAACAGTTTCTATATATGCATTATTCGCTACATTATATTCTCTATTCAACTGATACAAATATTACTCCACAGTTTTTTAGGAATCACTCCATCGTTTAAATAAAGTTTTGATATCTAAATTTTTGTAGGATTGTATGAGAGCACACAGAGATTATAATCAGACGTTTATACAAAACTGAACCATATACTAAGTTTCTGTCAACACTGATTGGCCTCACGGCTTCTGTTCGCATGCGCCAGCGTCCATGGTTATTTCACTTGTGGTTTAATCATGCGCATATTATGGATCAGTGAGTATTTATTTTATTGACTATATTGTTTATTTCCTACAGCAGAAACAAGAGGATATCCGACATTCGATTTTAGCGAATATAAAAGAGAAGGTAAGACAACAAGTTATTTAATGAGAGAAGAGTCAAATACACAAATTCATCCTGGTATATTGTTATAATACTTGTAACGATAGTTTTAACGAAAATTTTCATTTATCGATGCGTGCTTGCTACGTCCAATGTTTCGCCAGTGATTCTTCCATTGTTTCATGTATTTTTGATGATTGTGTGTGTATGTGAGGTAATTGATGAGCAACGGACTAGTAGAATATAGTTTCGAGAAATTTCAGATAAATATAAATGTCTAATTTATTTAAAAACCGTCGAGTACTGAAACCGTAGCTAAAATTCCGCACAATGTAAATAATGATCAAGTACGTCTCACTAGAGAAGTGCGTGATAATAATGGCATTTGCAATTTGAATTCTGGTATTCTAAATTTGCCCTTCCATTAGCTTTGTCGTTTAGCACATACGAAAAATTACATACCGAACGCAATGTTTCAATACGCATATAATATAGTGAGTTTTTTCAACCAGGCTGTTCATATGTTCGGCAAAAAGTAGAGAAAAGCAGTTCGCGCTGCGATCGCCGAATGGTGTCAAATTCTGAAGTTAAATTTGCATGATGAAATAATGAAAACTCACTTCATTCATCAGTATGCTATAAATGCAGTGTTTGATTTATTTTTAGTTATTAGAAACAAATTATTCTTGTGGGGTTCGCTGTTGCAGAAAAATTTTCTCTGCAACTTATAGCCCAATCATTTCAACTGTACAGTATTTGAAGTCGAAAAGCTATTGATTTTATTTCTTATTTAATTTTCTCCAAGTTAGATATTTGTTTGCTTTGTTATTCCATCCGTGGGAACACTTTTTTATGTCATTTGAGCATTGCTATCTTGTTTCCTAGATACCTCAATAGCAGAAGAAACAAGCTACTATAACACCAGTATGGTTGCTGATATTGAACAGCGAGCAAGGTCAAATGTCTCACCACTAAACAAGGAAATATCATCTACCGTAGCTGTCAGCCTCGTAGTGCTACTACTGAATGTTTCTGCCGTATTTTCTTAGTTCCGTACAAAATGCTGACTTTGTGTATAACTATAAAACTTCAAAGTTCGACTCCGACAACAGACCCATGAACCATGGCAAACTTTCTGTCGTACAGAGCAGAAAAGTTAAATATTATGTAAATATCGCTACTCACTTTCCTTAGACACCTTTGGCTTTTCGCTTCAAAAGTCCATTTATCTCTGTTCGATATACAATCTCATATATGTTACTTATCATTTGTTTATTTTCCAGTTTTGTGACTTTTAATATTGGACAATTTTGTGAAAATCAGAGAAATGCATTTGTTGTCAAGATATGGTTATGGGTTGTGTTGAAGTGGAACCGAAAATTAATCAAAATTCGAATTAAAATCGCGAATGACTAAATATTAATCCGTAATTACTAACCATGAATTTCGTAGCAACCAATTAAATGTTGACCATTTCAACCCAATCTAAAACAAGCAGACTTTGAAATTAACGAAATTAAATTATATCACCATTGGTGATATACAATTGGTGTTGTTTTGACCTGGATAAAACCTTATTTATTCCAATAAAGTTTCAAAAAATTCCTGATTCCTTCATGATACCGACTGACTTATTTAGAAAGGGAAACTGGACGCAGGCTAACGATATTATGTTTTTATTTTGATATTCCTATCGTTGATTTAAAGGAGCTCCCGAAGTGTATGTAACAAGATGACACACAACCTGAACATAATATGTGTACCAGGTTAGGGTTCAGGTTGTGCGTCATCTTAGTACATATACTTGGGGGAGCGCTGATTTAAAACTATATATACTGCCATCTTTAAAGAGAGATTGTAAGAAATGATTGAAATTTTTCATATCGTTCGAAATCTACAATAAATATCGACAGAGGTGTCTTAACAAGTATTTATTCAAATTTTGATCAGGAAGGCACCACAGTCTCACCGAATTCATGTTACATTTTAAAGGTCTTGTAATTGCTGACTAAAAATACTGACTTGGATTGAAATAATCAAGTGCTGAAATCATTTTCATGGTTTGCCAATAAGAAAAGCCTACGACACCCGGTATTCCCAGCCGGGTTACCCATGCAAGTACTAACCGGGCCTGACATTGCCTAACTTCCCATACCAGACGAGATCGGCTGTAATAACAAACAAACTGGACAAGTGTGAGAAAAGCGGGACAAATGTGATATAAGCAGGACAATTGCAGAACAAACATGTCGAGTATGAGACAAGCAGGACAGATGTGAAACAAGCAGGAAAAGTGTGACGCAAACAGGGTATGTGAGACAAGTTAGATTCAATCAGGACAAGTGTGATACTGGCAGGACAGGTTTAAAACAAGCATGATACGTATAGGACAAGCGATATAAGTGTTGTAAAATCAAGACAAATGTGTGGCAAGCAGGACAAGTGTGATACAGGGTTCAACATGAGCATTATAAGCAATGAAAAAGCGATACAAGTGTGGTAAAAGCAAGACAAATGTGAGACAAGCGGGGTAAGTTTGAAACATGCAGTGCAAGGGTGGGGCAAGTTTGAAATAAGCAGGGCAATTAATACAAGTGTGGTAAAATTAAGTCATATGTGGGATACTCAAGCTGGATTCAATCGGGACATGTTGAGATAAACTGGGAAAAAATGAAAAACAAGAACAAGTATGACAGGTTTGAAATAAGTGGGACAAGTGTTAGACAAGCAATACAAGTGTGGTAAAAGCAAGATAGGTGTAGGATGAACAGTGTGCGACAAGCAAGACAAGTTCAATTTGATCAGGGCAAATGTGAGACATGCAGAACATGTGTAAGAAAGCATTTGGTTATTTATATCATAGGCATATATTATCATAATGCTCACAAGTTTAATTCAATTTTTGCTGGGGGAAACTCTGGCCCACTGAAGTCGATTTTTGTTTGAGTTTTTACCACATATATATTAGCGCGTAAATGAAGACCCTACAATAAAATAATCACGGGGGAAGTCGGGATTAATATACGTGAATTTGTTCTACCCAAGCTACCATTAACCCACCTTCATCTCTGAGGTCTTTCAAAAACAAAACAAGGTGAATCCGGGGGTAGCCTTGTACCTATTCCTTATCACAAGAACCCCAATAATTAAGTTTTTGAGCAAGTATGCAAGCAGAGCAAGTATGACACAAGCAAGACAAGTGTGAGTAGAGCAGAACCAGTTTGAGACAACCAGCACAATCGTGGAACAAGAACAACATGTTTGAGGAAAGCGAGACAAGTGTGAAACAAGTAGCAAGTTGGTGTGAGAAAAACAAGACAATGTTAAATAATCCTGAAAATTGTGCGGAAAACAGGAATGTGAGACAAGCAATAAAAGTATGCAATAAGTACGAATGTAAAAAAAAGAAAACCAAGCGCAGGAAAAGCATGACCAGTATGGGACAAACAAGACGATTGTGATACGAGAGGGACAAGTGTGGGACATGAAAGACGGGCGTGAGACAAGTATGACATAAGAAGCACAATTGTCTAACAAGCAGAAAAAGAGGGGGGCGGGCAAACACCTGTCTGTATTTATAAATTTGCAGATTGTATTTCTACTGCTCATTCCTAGGCTTATATCAGAGTGCTCCATGCAGGACAAGTTTGGAACTATCAGAACGAGTGTGGGGGGAGCAAGCAAGAAAAGAGTGAGACAAACAATACAAGTGCGGTAGAGGAAAGACAAATGCTTTGTGGGTCAACCAAAGAATATGTGAAACAAGCAAGACAAGTTTGATTTAATCAGGACGAGACTAGGACAAGTAGGGCAATTGTGAGACAAGCTTGTGACGAGAAGAACAAGTTCGAGAAAGCAAGAAAGTCAAGACAAGTTTGATTCAATCAGGAGAGGTTTAAATAAGGCAAGACAAATGTTGGACAATCAGACCATTTTGATCAAACCACAGCGAGAATGGGAAACGAATGACAAGTGTCAGACAAGAAGGACTATAGTATGGGACAAGCGTCGGACAAGAAAAACAAGTTAATAGAAGTGGCGCAAGTTCTGAGCAACTGAACAAGATAAGTATAGGATGACCACGCCAAGTGTGATGTGAGTATGACAGGTTTGAGATACGCATGGCAAATATGGGACAAGCAATACAAGTGGGGTGAATACAAGTCAAATTTGGGGCAAGCAGAGAAAGTGTTAAACAAGCAAGCCAAGTTTGCTTCAATCATGACGACACTGGGACACGCAGGACAATTGTGAGGCAAGCAGTACAAGTGTGAGAAAAGCGTGAGACAAAAAAAGACAAGTTTGAGACAAGCAGGACAAGTTGCTGATGGTGACTATCAGAACTTATGTGAGAAACGCTAGGTAAGTATGGGAAATATATGTCAAGTACGATGCGAGGAGGAGAATAGTGAAAAAAGCAGGACAAAAATAGGAAAAGCGGGACAAATGTTGGACAAGCCATACAAGTGTGGAATAAGCAATTTAAATGTCGGACGAGCAAAGAGTGTTGGAGACAAGGAAGAAAAGAGTGATATAATAAAGACAACTAAGAGACAAGCGGGTCAAGTTTGAGACACAAGTGTGAGACAAGCGGGAAAAGTTTGGGACAGGCAAGAAAAGTATGGGACAAACAGGATATTTGTGATACAAGTAGGACAAGTGAGAGATAAGCTGGACAATTGTTAGATAAACAGGACAAATGTGTGACAAGTATGATAAGAGCAGGACAACTGTTAGACAAACAAATCAGTCAAATATGGGACAAGCTGAGCATGTGTGAGAAAATCAAGACGAGTTTTATTCGATCAAGAGAGGTTTCTACTAAGCAGGATTGGGCATGTAAGTACGAGTGTGGGCAAACCTGGACAAGTGAGAAACAGGACAAGATGGGCAAGTTTTAAACAAGCATTACACGTTTAGTAATGTGTTGGACAAACAGAATGAGTGTGGTAAAAGCAAGAAAAATGTAATGAGTAAGAGCTTCTGAATTAAGAAAAGTGTGAGCTGACCACCACAAGATTGAAAAAAGCAGGACAAGTGTAAGGCTAGAAGCCCAATTGTGGCACACGCAAAACAAGCGTGTTAAAAGCAAGTAAAATTTGGGACAGGTAGATGAAAGTGTGAGACAAGCTGGGCAAGCTCGCTCCCAGCATGACTAGACTGGGACACGCAGGACAATTGTGAGAGAAGCAGTACAAATGTGAGAATAGCGTGAGACGAGAAAGACAATCAGGACAAGTTTGTGACTATCAGAACATGTGTGGAAAATGCAAGATAAGCATTGGAAATATAGTTCAAGTGTGATGCCAAGAGGAAAAGCGTGAGAAAGGCAGGACAAATGTTGGACAAGCAATACAAACAAGGCTGTCATAACGTACTTATTCAAAGGTTTGTCTTTATTTTGACATGTGTCCCTATTTTTATTCTTATTTTATGGGTAGAGGTTCTAATACCAGGCACTTAGATTTGTCAATTCAAATGATTGATTTGCTAGAAATGATATTTCACAACCTCATTGATTACTACGCGCATTCATCACGTAATAACAAAAAAATTAATTGACACCAGGACAAAACAATAGCCTGCCGGCCAAAATCAGTTCGTGTAACTAGAATAAAAATAAAAAAGCATCACAAGTTTGATTCAGTCAATACAATTAGGAGACATGCAAGACAACTGTGAAATAAGCAAGCCATGCAATATAAGTGTGGGATAAGCAATTTAAATGTAAGACATGCTTAGCAAGTTGAAGAGAAGAAGTCACGTTTGATACAATAAAGACGACTAAGAGACAAGAAGGACTAGTGTGAGACAATCAGCGTTAGACAAGCAGAACAAGTTTGCTTCAATCAGGACGAAAGTGGGACACGGAGAACAATTGTGAGACAAGCAGTACAAGTGTGAGGGTACGTGAGACAAGTAAGGCAGGTTTGAGACAAGCAAGATAATGTTGTGATTATTAAAACATGTGTCGGAAAAGTAGGATAAGTATGGGAAATTTATGTTAAGTGTGATGCAAGGAGGACAAGCGTGAGAGAAGATTGACAAAAATTAGATGAGCGGGACAAATGTTGGACAAACAATACATGTGTGGAATAAGCAATTAACATGTCGGACAAGCAGAGCAGTGGGATATGATAACGACGAACAAGAGACAAGCGGGTCAAAACTGACAAATATGGGTCAAGCAGAACAGGTGCAAGCAATACAAGTGTGGGACAAGCCGACAGGGCAAGTGAGGACAATTGTGGAACAAACACGACAAGTGTCAGTTTAGCAAAACATGGTTGAAAAAAGCAGAGAAAGTGTGGCACAAAGAGGAGGAGTTCTGGACAAGCAGTACAAGTGTGGTAAACGCCAGTCAGAGTGGTACACTCAGGACAAGTGTGAGACAGGCTGAACTACTGTTGGTCTAACGTAGGACAAGTTTGAGACAAGCAGCACAAGTTTTGGACTATCTGAACAATTGTGGGAAAAGTGGCATATTTACATAGAAAAACACGTCAAGTGTGTTGCAAGCAAGGCAAGTTTGAGATAAGCAGGACAAGTTTGAAATAAGCAGGACAATGGTGGGACAAGCAATACAAGTGCGGTAGAAGCAGACAAATGCGTTGAGGGGAATGGTAGCTAGTGTGAGACAAGCACTACAAGTTTGATTCAATAAAGACAAGTGTGGGACATTCAGGACAAGTGTGAGAGAAGCAAGGCAAGTGTGTGTCAAGCGGAAAAAGTTCGAGACAAGCAAGAAATGTGTGGGGCAAACAAGAAAATTGTAATACAAGTACAACAAGTGTGAGATAAGCAAGACAAATATGGGACAAGCACGAAAGTTTGAAAAAACAAGACAAGTGTGAAGCAAGCAGAAAACCGTAGACTAACAGGATGGGGTTGGACAAGCAATACAATTGTGGTAAAGCCATGCCAAATATGGTGAAATAACTAATACAAGTTTTATTCTATTAGAAAATTTGTGAGCAACTGTGAGACAAGCACTACAAGTTTAATTCAATAAAGACAAGTGTGGAGAACATGCACGACAACTGTGAGAAAAGCAAGGCAAGTGTGTGTCGAGCGGGAAAAGTTCAAGACAAGCAAAAAATGTACGGGGCAAACAAGAAAACTGTACGACTAGTGTGAGATAAGCAAGACAAATGTGGAACAGGCACGATAAAAGCAGAACGAGTTTATAAAAAAACAAGCAAAGTGTGAAGCAAGCAGAAAAACTTCAGACAAACAGGATGGGGGTGGGACAAGCAATACAATTGTGGTAAAGGCATGCCAAATAGGATGAAATAACTTATACAAGTTTTATTCGATTAGCACATTTGTGTTTAAAGCACTACAAGTTTGAGGGAAGCGAGGCAAGAGTTGGACAAGCAGGACAAGTGTTTTACAATCAGCAAAGGTTTGGAATAACCAATACAAGTGTGGTAAAAAAGAGCAAGACAAATTTTAGACAAACAGAGCAAGTGCGAGACAACAAGTTTGATTTAATGAGGACTTTATGATTTAATGAGGATTTAATGGGACAAGCAAAAAAGTATGAGACATGCAGGACAAGTTTAATTGATTGATGGAATGTATGTATCAGGCAGGAAAAGTGTTTGACAAGCAGCACAAGTGTGATACAAGCAGGACAGCTTTGAAGTGAGCAATACAGGTGTGGTAAAAGCCAGAAGAAGTGTGAGACGAGCTGAAAAAACGCGGGACGTGGGAGAAGATTGGTATAAGCAGGACAAGTGTGAAATAAGCAATACAAGTGTCAGCAATACAAGTGTCATTATTCGCTATTTGATTAAGATACTAAATATCTAATTTAGTTTAACTAATTATAACATCAACTCAACACCTGATTATGCCACTCGGAATAAAAAGCAAAAAATCTCAAGATCGCAAACCTGCATTAGAACCAACAAGCAAATCCAGTCCACCGGATCCTGGGCTGTCACCAATAGTACCATCTTTACCTGGTTCATCTTCCTCATCCTACTCAGGTCATAGAGAAGAGGAACAACTAACACCACCTGTTTCCTCTCTGAGCTTGACTAAGATTCAGGAAAATATTCAAAAGAACATTGAAATTCAACTTCCAAGTATCATTGCTCGCTGCATCTCTTAGAATTTTAACAACTCATCAGAGTATTTACCCTTGAGTCCAGGATTAAAAGACTTTATAGACAAACAAAATCAGTCCTTGAAGGAAATTAAAAATGAACTATCTGTCATCAGAGAGTCCCAGGACTTTCAATCTAAAAAGTTTGATGACATATTAAAACATCAAAAAAATATGGATGACCAACTAAAATATCAAAATAAAAAATTCAATGCTTAGAAGAACGCATTCTGGATCTCGAAGAAAATCTTTGGTATTTATCCGAGCACACTGAAGACCAGGAACGGCGCTCCAGACCCGAAAACCTGGAGTTTCACGGAGTCCCACCCTTAGCAAATGAAAATACCGACGAACTGGTTTTAGAGATTTCAAAACTCACCAAGGTGAATATCCAGCCAAGGGATATTTCTTTTACTCATCGCTTCCCTACAAGAAATCCGAAAAACCACCCTCCTATTATTGCTCGATTTACTAACCGAAGAATTCGACATCAGATTTTCGAAAACCGCAAACGTTTGGAGGCTGCTTCAAATACATCTAATATTAAAGACATGTCTAAAGTTTTCATTTCCGAAAACCTCACCAATAGGAACAAAGACTTATTTTTTCAAGCAAAGGCGCTAAAAAATAGATGCGGCTACGCGTACCTATGGACCTCCAATGGAAA